TTGTGTGTGTGTGTGTGTGTGTGTGTGTGTGTGTGTGTGTGTGTGTTCAGATACAACTGGAAAAACCAGCTGGCTGATTGTGAAATCATTTAGAGAAACAGTTTTCCATGGGGTGGGACTGTGAGTGACTCACGTTTGTGACGTCAGCAAACTGAGTGTAAAGGTCAAACATTTTAACCGTCTAATTTCAAGATGTGAATCCAAACCAGCAGGTGTCTGGGAGGTGAAAAACAAATTTTTTTTTACAGTCGGATTAGTTGTAATAATCTGCTTTATAGGTTAAATTAAGGGAATGTTGACTTTTTAAATAAAAAGCTTTGTGGAAAATATATAAACAGTTAATATCTCACCTGTTGTAGATAGCTCTTTGAACAACTGCAGTGTTGAGAAATAGACTTTAATTCTGACCAGCTCTACCAAAATGGACCAAATGCGGCCTTAAATTAAAACCTGTCTCAAAACTTGTCATTATTTATAAAACTTTATATTACTGTTTACAATAATTTGCATCAGATTTTATGGCTGTTTGGGACTGAGCTTTAAGACCTACAGTGTGAACAACATGGTCACGTGACAAAGTTCCCGGCTGTTTGACTTTGAGAATAAGGAAAGAGGAAAAAGGTCTTCATTCAGGCTAGGCTAACAGTGCCCAGTGATCATTTGTAGTTAGTAATGTAGTGATGTCATTCAGTCACGTGATTTCAACCTCCTTTTTTTACGGGGGAAAACTGCAGCTGAAGGGAGCAGGAAACACGGTAATCTCGTGGAAGAAACACCGCCGTCCATCATCAGTCTCATCTTTCTCTTAAACCGAAAAAAATAGAACCCCCCAGACCTCCTTTTTGACTGAGGCTCAAATTTTTCTGACAAGCAGTAAAAAATCTACAGGAAGAAGAAAATAAAAAGAGACGAAATTTGAATGGAGATTGGCGGCAATGAAGAGCCGGTGACAGCAGGACTTTATTAATTAGATCTGTGACTTTTAACATGTTTGGATTTTAAAGTTATTGTGCAGTTTTAAGTGTTTACTCTTCATTTTAGCCTATTTTAATGTGTTTTATATCAAAACGATGCAATTCTTTTTAAACAAGGAGAAGCATGGAGGCTTGCAGAGGCAGAACGACAACACGTGTCTTATTTCTCTCCCCGCACTCTTGCAGTTAGAAAAAAAAATATCTCTGGATGTTTTTTTTTTATGTGAGAAGTGCAGTCCTACAGCAACTTTTCACCATTTTCCCTATTTTCCACATAGAGGAACTCATCCTATTTTCCCCCCAAACCAATATGTCAGCCTCTGTTTACAACATGGTCACGTGACAAAGTTCCCGGCTGTTCGACTTTGAGAATAAGGAAAGAGGCAAAGGTCTTCATTCAGGCTAGGCTAACAGTTAGCTAAATGAGTATCATTTTTTATAAACTGTTTTTTAAGGTCAGAAAACAGCTCTTTCTCAAAAAACAAACAAAAAAAACATACAAAACATGAAAAACACCATATTGTGATTCAAACATTTTGATGTTTTGGAGAAAAAAAACCATATGCTCAATAAAACAAAATAAAACAGGCCTTTTTTGTTTGGATAGCTGTTAGCCTAGCCTGGACAAGCATCTTCACCCTTTTCTTCACACGAACCGATGGTTAGACTGATAAGGTGTTTACTCTGGGTGCTAACGACTGATAACAAATCATTAATAATTTAAACATAATCACAATATCCCATTAGTATGACGATTAGGGCCACACAACGAGATTTTTTAAAATTATTATTACAAGATTAAAGTTATAATTTTATGAGATTAAAGTAGTAATATTATGAGAAAAAAAAAGTCATAATCATGACGTGTCTTTTTCCCGTTCCTCATTTCCTTCTTATTTTACTCACAACTGCTGTTTGCAGCCATGTCTCTGTTTATAAAGCAGTTCATGATGACTCGGGTACTGTTATGCTAATAAATGTTAATGCTTTCATCCAAATTAGCTATGTGACGACTAAATCTGTCAATGCATCCATTAATTACAATACAGCTTCAGTTTGTAGTCGTTTGCACAATAGGAGGGTTTCACATGACTGAAACGCAGCTATTTCCAAGTCCTGGTACTGATAATTCAATGCTAATATGCTAAAAGATTACGGTAACTATTTATTTAAAGCAATACTAAAGAACAATTTGACAAGTTTCTCAACATTCCTCTTTTTAATGCAGTGGTAACTGTATGCTTTTTTGTGTAAAGACAATATTATGACTTTATTCTCATAATATTATGACTTTATTTTTATATGACTTTATTGTCATATTATGACTTTATTCTCATAATATTATGACTTTATTTTTATATGACTTCGTAATATTATTCGTCGTAATATTAGTCGTTGTAATATTATGATTTTATTCTCGTAATAAAAAAAAAATCTCGTTGTGTGGCCCTAATACTCCGTCGTACGTTAGTGACTCATTTTTACAGGTTGTTGTAAATAAGAAGGTAAAACAGAAAAGGTTGCATTTTGAGGCGCGTCTCTCCACCATTGTGACAAAAGTTACAAAAAAAAAAAAAGAAAACCCTAAAACAAACAGCTGAAATTAGCTAACTATTTTTTAGATTTAGACTCGCTGTCTTAGAAACACAAACATGAAAAGTTAAAATATTAAAGCTTTTGCTTAAAGCAAGGAGAGTCTCTTAATTGTGGCTGATTTAACAAGCTGTCACAGCTGATGTCTCTGCCTCGTCGGCCTTTTTCTCTCCAGGACTGAGCGTGTGTCTGTTTGTGTGTGTGTGTGTGTGTGTGTGGCCGTCTTTTCATTACGTGTGTCCCTCTGCAGTGTGGTGACCTGTCCAGAGATGCTGAACAACATCCACTCTTATCACACGCCGCTGTCCTACCTGCTCGTCTGCGTCTCCACAGGTCAGTGAACGCATCGTGAAACAAAACAGCTAAACAGGATCAGTCGCACAAACAATGGCTACTGCTCAGTTTTACAGTTTTTTGAGCTGAAATCTGGCCTTGTAGTAGCTGAGAGTCATCTTTAACATGTACAGTCTGAGCAGGACATCTTAGTTTAAAAATTGGGAATATTTGATAAGCATTCCCTGAAAGAAATCTAGACCTTTGGTCTTACTTTGTTATCTATTTGTCCTTTAATTTGTTTAGTTTTTATTTTCTTTACAAATCAACAATCTTTTGCCTAATCAGAAAAGATGTGCTCATTTTGTTCTTTGGCCTGATTATAAGTAAAATAGCTTTTCCGTCACCATGAAGACACAAATCTGTGGAGATCAGCCCTGACAACAGCAAACAGCTAAAGAAACTGACTTTGTTTCTCAATAATCAGAGCGCTGCAGGCAAACGGAAGCAGTAAAAGACCGGAGGAAAGCTGCAGCTGAATCAGGCCGATGCAGTTTAATAACTGCTGGAAAGTGTTTAGTCAGCGTTTTCTTAAACGTGATGACAAGAAGGCCTTTCACCCTGCCGTCAGGTGGATTCAGCGTCTGACGCGCAGCGCTGTGAGAAGCAGATGAGGCGTTTAAATCCTCTTGTGGGTAAATATTGAAGTGTTACCACTTCTGGGGCTGTTTGGAGCGCACATGGAAACATTTCTGCTGGAGTGATCGTGTAATGAAGACGGTGTAAACTTTGCATCGTCATCAAATTTAGGAAAACGGGGTCAGACTGTTCCTGTTGAACACATGAAGCAGAATCACAGAGTGAACAATCTCACACCCTCAGCTGTCCTGTTCCACATGAGCAAAACTACACATAAAGTCATAATATTATATATACACATAAAACCAGATATTTGTGGTTCATTTTATTAAAGGGAAAATTAGGAGTTGAGGATTTAATTTCACTGTAATTCGTGCCTTTACTCAAAGACTACAATAATAAATCTTGATTCTCTTTCCTGTTGAATTTATGTTATTACTTGTAGATTTTAATAAGAATCATTACATGTGGCACAGAAAATAATGTTGGGGATGACTCTACTCCCACACCCAGTTTTTAGTTCCATATCGGTGAAACTGACGGTGAATCTGTAATGCATTACACTGATACCACCGAGACAATCTAACCGAATCATTAAAATAATCAAGTGACCTTTACGTTGATCTTTTCAAGGATACTTTGTGCAAGACGCAGCTGATATCATCCTGACCGGAAATGCCAGAGGATCATGGGAATTCTTACTCCATCATGCAATGGTAAGACACGTCTGCCTTCTTTTTACTCTTACTTTTAGGATTGTAGTACTTGAGACCGGTCTTGGTCTTGTCTCGGTTTTGGACATTGAGGACTCAGAATTTTATTTCAAGACCACAACTGTGGAAATATCACTAAACAGCCAGATTATTGTCTAATTTATTTGTTAACATTCTTGCTTTCATTGAATTTGAAATGTAGCTACTGATTCAAATCCAAACCTGACTCAATGCTATTTGTGACCCATCACATCGAAATGAGGATTAAGTCAAATTTGGTCAAAACGACCTAATCATATTTTCAGATTCCTGGCTTTAAAAGCTACATTTTGACACTTAGATCATCCTTATATCATTAGTAGATCCAGAGATATTATTTAATTTGTCTTGTTGGTTACAATAATACATAAATATTTGGTCTAAATCCTAATTTTATGTCATTTTAATGAGGATTTTTTATGTCATTTGAAAAACGAAACCTCAAATAGTAATTGAAAATTGAGATTTCCCATCTGGAAAGAAACAAACACGCTGATAGCTCACAGGGAAAATCTCAGAATTTTAAGGTGTTTTTCCTCAAAATCTGGTTTTTGGTTGCTAATGCTCAAAAAAGTGCTTCCAAAAAATTTTTTAGGATAATATTTCAGACATGTTCATTGAAATTATATATTGATAACACATTTATTTGTTATATTTTGAGAAAATGTAATTTTTGCAAGCATTTTAATCAAAACACTATATCTGCCTATTTTTCCACATACAACTTTTAGACTTAATCCTCGTTTCGATGTGAAGGGTCACATTTATGTACTTTTGTTACCAGCTGTTACCCATCACCAAACCCATTAACTCGCATGCAGCACTACAGGAAAGCGAACCGTGGTTCTCTGGTAGTGATAGAAGATGTCTGCATAATTTAAAGTAAAACAATGTGGCCACATAAACAACATTGTTGTAAAACAACAACAACCAGGAGAAATCGTACAGCAACTTGTAAATTCTGCAGTGATTCACTTTCAGAGACGGTGGGGACAGCCAAAGGTTCAGTCAAACTTTTACCGTCACTTACGTAAACAGTCTGCCTCTGTAGCAAAATTCTTTCTTCTGCCCTCACACAAACATTTTATCAATATTAGCTCTATATTAGGTTAGCTACATGTGTCCAGAATACTCCATCTTTTAGGACACTAGTTTTTTTTTCTGGTCTTTGTCTTGACTTGATCCTGGCCCTGAAAGTCTTGGTCTCGTCTCGGTCTAGAGACACTGTGGTCTTGGTCTTGGGTTAGATGGTCTTGACTGTGTAATGGAACTAATACTTTTATATTTAAGCAAGTAATTCATGACATCCTTTAATGACCTAGGTTTTCATGACATGCTGTTCATCTGCAGACAGAATGATTAAAGTCAGAACAAGATTTGCTAACAACAGTCATTCTTAGATATCACTTGTGTTTATCTTTGTGTTTTCCATTGACCTTGTATCAAATCTTGCTAAGTTGACATTATGGTGTTTGTTAATATATTTATATATGAGGCCTCTCGAGACACAGTGTTCAACAGTAGTGTGGAGAGACAGTGACAGAGACAAGCCAGGTTGCTCTCTGTTTCCTGTTGTTGCAATAAAACTCAGCTGATCATCTCACAGAGTACCTTCATTCTTGGACCACGTATTTCTGTCTTTGTTAAATAAATATTGCCATAACAGTTTGGCGTTGTCGGCAGGATGATAACACTACTTTTACATGCTGGCAGTAACTAACGATGGCGCCTACCAAGATGGCGGCACATATTCTCGTCCTGCTAACCTAAACTGCACTGTGGTTGTCTGTTCTTGTGTATTTCTTTTTCAGTTGTCTGGTTAATAAAGATGAGTAAATAACACAGCATTATTAGTCCCGATCAAACACTTTTTCCCGTTTTGTGCCCAGGTGATCTGGTGTTTCCTGTATGCCCTCTACACTCAGCTGTACATAGCTGGTGCCGTGATCGCCCTCTTCGTGGAGGTCAACAACGTCACCCTGCACCTGAGGCTGATGCTGAAGCTGGCGGGCACCCAGTCCTCCTACACCTACCACGTCAACAAGCTCGTCAACCTCTTCACCTACGTCATGTTCCGTCTGAGCACCCAGTTCTACCTCACCTGGTTCATCGTTCAGAACTACGACTCGCTGAAACGTGGCGGGTACTTCCTCACCACCATGAGCGTGATGAACATCATGATCCTGATTTACTTCTACCGTTTACTCCGGGCCGACTTCTTTACCCGCAGTAAAAGCTACGCGGGACAGAACGGGACGTGTAACAACTATTCTAAAAAGTTCCTCAATGACTGACTTGCAAAGGTTTACCGGACTGAACAACGTTTCTACTGTATTTAAGGTGGGAGTTTACACGTTTTTTTTTTGTGTCTTTTCATGTTGTAATTCTTGTGACAACAAACCCTCTCGCCCTGTCGGTTTCACTGCCAAAGAACAAAGACCTCAAAAATGCCCAGTGTAACAAGATGCAGCCTCTTTTCACTGCTAAGTGAAAAATAAAAATCTAATAAATAAATAAATAAATAAATAAATAAATAAATAAATAAATAAATAAATAAATAAATAAATAAATAACACAACTGAAAATTCAAACTCTAGGTTAAGATGAGAATATTTTTAAAAAAATATTTCCAAAGTTTCAGAAACCACAGCAATCGTTTCGCAGTGTCTCGATTTGTGAAGACTTCTTAGATATTTGGGGAAATTTCATAATCTCAGTGTTAAATTGAAAACACTCATTATTAGAGTGACCGCATTTTTACTGATTAACCCACACAGAGCCTAGAGTACCTACAAAATGAATCAGAGGGAACAAATGACATAGTTGTACTATTTATTAGGATATGAACTTGGTAAGTGTTATGGTGATATTTATTTAACAAAGACAGAAATACGTGGTCCAAGAATGAAGGTGGGATGATCAGCTGAGTTTTATTGCAACAACAGGAAACACAGACAACGTGTCCTGTCTCTGTGCCTGTCTCTCCACACTCCTGTTGAACACTGTGTCTCAAGAGGCCTCATATATATATTAACAAACACCATTATGCCATCTTAGCAAGATTTGATACAAGGTCAATGGAAAACACAAAGATAAACACAAGTGATATCTAAGAATGACTGTTGTTAGCAAATCTTGTTCTGACTTTAATCATTCTGTCTGCAGATGAACAGAATGTCATGAAAACCTAGGTCATTAAAGGATGTCATGAATTACTTGCTTAAACATAAAGTATTAGTTCTACCACAGTAAGTATAAGCACTGTGTGCTGCTGGTCAGTATACCTAAAGATGGCCACCATATATAACTGGGATAAGAGAATAAAAATAGGCAGTGTGATGTAAATGCTTTCTTTTTTTAATGACTTATGACTCTTGATGTAACGCCAAAAATTTTATGTAGAGGTGCAAAATTTGTTATAGAAGCCAACTTTAGTAGTTTGACACTTTGGGAATATTTATTTTCATTATACTTACATTAAAAACCCAACTCTTGTGTTTACAAGCTGAATTTGAAGCAGAAACCTGTTAATGGAGGTGAACCTGCTCCTACACAATCACCTTTTGTTTTAAAACATATTAAACTTAAAAAAAAAAACTTGTTAGTAATGTAGGTGGTAATAAGTGTTTTGTTCAAAGGCAGGTTAGTGTTTTTGTGTAGTATTTGTAACTGGTGCCATGTAGCTTTTTAGGTCTTTGAATGAATTCCTCAAATACAAAACAAAAATCATAATTTGTCTATGAAAGACTTCATCATGCAATAAATAATAGTTTGGGTAATAGTTTTGTTTTTGATGATGAAAAGGATTTTAATTTAAAATATCTTTAAATATCTATAAGCTTCGTGTGAAGCTACATAGTTTTACTTTCACAACTACTGTAGCTATACAGCTAATTAGCTACGTTAACTGTATAAAATCCCAGCTAGTGGATTTTACGCTTCAACATTTTAAAGAATTAACAAACAAAAACTGTAAAAGTAATTTGGTAAATTTAACGAAGTTGTCCACTAGTTTTCCTCTGGTTTGGTCTTGTTCTCACTTAAGCTAGCATAAATGCTAGCCTCACATTTAGCTTACAGACTTGAGAATCGTCTCCTTTTATTAAAATCTCCAAGAGTATCAAACTTGTTTTATTTATTAAACACAAAACAACAAGTTATTTATACTGTACAACAAAAATGAAATCTACATTTTTAAAATAATACTTAAGGATATTGACTTGGTTGTATTTTAAGTATTGTTAACCTTTTCTTGTCACATTAGATGTGTGCTGGAGGCCTTGTACACAAAGTACAAGAGAGGTACTGATTTTATGTTTAATATATTTTATTGTTGTATGAAACACTAACATTTTTTTGGTAATGTCAAACTTCTCTTGTCCAAAACGTCACTAAAATTGGAAAAATGCATTTTGCCCGGTTTGTTAAACAAACTTTCTCTTTAATTCCTTGCTATAAATTTACAATTTGCTTGGGATTTTGACCTGTTTAGACAGTTTTCAACCTTTGAATTCAAATTTTAATATTGTGCTTCTCTGTTTGTGTAGCGTATGTACTGTATGTAGATATTTGTGGACCAACCCCTTTGTCTCTATGAAGCCTTTGTCCCTTCTTTCTACGGCTGAAGAGATCCTGGGGCTGTAGTGCGTTAAACAGACGACCAACTGAACTTCTAACACAATATGATGCAAGATCGTTTGTGGTCTTTTTATGGCTCCTGTGATAAAATCTGTTTGTGTTTGACTCGAGTGAAGATGAAGCCGGACCTTCCTGGCGTCTAACAGCTGCTCATCAGGACCCCTGAGCGAGCCTCCGTAATGAGAAACAGTCATGTGTGGTTAGACACCATCTATCTTATCTTGTAGCAAACCGACAATACTTTCAAAAAATGGGACTTTTTTTTGTCAACAATGGATGTAGAGCACTTTGTAATTATTGTCTTCTTGTGAACATTCCCTTTGATGTATTGTTTACCAGGAGTTGATATTTCCTGATCATTCCATGAGTTGTAAAGGTCATGGCAAAAAAAAAAAAAAAAAAAGATGTGTAACACAGATCAACCACAACCTTAGTCTTCCTGTTTTTTTCAAGGAACCAAAACACCTCTGACCAGTCTGAGTGTGGATGAAGAGCATACTGGGCCATAAGCAATACATCCTTTGGCTCCAGTGGATTATAAATTGGGGATTTAGTAGATTGGGCTTGATTTGGATTAAACACCTCAGACTCTTGTGTTGTTGTAACCATCCTTGAGCGGTTTTTGTGGGACAGTGTTTAGGTTCTGAGGTGACACTGAGGGGTAGTTTTGTCATTGCAAATCTGTTAATTGGAGGCAAATGTCAAAGTACGATTCACACTTTAGATAAAATGGGTGTTTTTTTGTTTTGTTTGTTTGTTTTTTCAGAATATTTGAATTTGAACAAAATTACCACTTTTCGTTTCATAATTTGTGATTCCAATATTGTGGCTGATGGGTGTAAATTTCATTTTCTAATTCAGTCGATGCCAAGAAAGTCCAAGCAAACATGGACGAAGCTGACATGACCTGTGCTGCAGTGCCTTTTACCACAGTGCCTTTAAAAAATGAGACAACAGTGATGTGTGAATACAAATACACCACACCGTGATGTAAAGTCGAGGAATAATCTGGGACAAACAATGAATTCATGTACCTTGTAATGGCACAATTTTTAGGATTGGACCCCGCATTTTGGATTGAGTGAATAAAAAATGATTTAAAATCATGGCGGTCATGATGTACGTCTTTCTGTGAAAACTATAACCAAAGCTAAATCTTTTTTTTTTCAGGAGGCTGCATGGTTAATTAATGCTCAGGAAGAACGATGAGCCAATTTGTGGATTTTTGAACCTCAAACATGCATTAAAGATTATTTTTGCTTTTATTTAGGCAAAAAGGAGAACATCTCCAACATTATTATTATTGATAATGTGCTCACCTTGGTTTCAGACTATATTTAACAAAAAAAAAAAAAATACTACCTGGTGCCAGTCTCTGATCATAGTGAGACAAATCACAAACTATACATAAATGCCTTTTTTCCCCCCGCATCACAAAATTTAAAGCCGATCATAAAATTTTACCTCAACAATTTGATTTAGTTATACATTTTTTATAATGTCAGTGTCCTGTGGCAACAAATATCAAACAGTTGCAGATGTTTCATCAGCATTTGTCCAGTGCTTCATGATATGTTTTGCTAACAAACTCCAAACAAATCTTGCTAAAGTTTTAAGTAAAGATCTATGCGTTGTGAATGACTCTCAGGTACTACCAGACTAATTTTAGCTGTAGCCAACTTTATGTTTTTCAAGTCAGTTGGCTGTGGTGGCCATCTTGAAAGGGGCAAACCTCCAGATAGGATTATTATTTTCTGGTTAATTTAAAATTCATCCAGTGGTTCATGAGCTATTTTGCTAAGAGACACAAACATACACAAATGCAAATATATATAT